TAATAATTTAGCTCATGCTTGCGAGAAGAGTGGTGTGATTTCTATGCCAAACTTCACCCCCTCATTCTGGTGACCTTATTTGGTGCTGGGCTTGCGTTTCCGGTCGTAGTCACCGCTCCCTTCCGTTACCATTTAATATGGCGATTGTGTGTTATATACGGGCAGACAGGATGTCAAACTTTATCGACTCGTGAATCTATTAAACGAAGCGTCAAAGCCTTCATTCTACTTTGTTTGATGAGCCTTATTTGTGAACTTCCGAGAGTCGAAGGTGTAACTCGACCATCAGTGTGATGCTGTGAAATCATTGACCTTTGAAAACGTGTCAAAGCTGTCACGCTTGTATAACTGTTTTGTTTGGGTTTTCCTGCTGTCATTTCCGGTGAAATAAATTTAGCTTGAGCGGAGCAATTTTACTCAAAGCAAAGAAAATAACACCGTGCTTAAAGGGTTTCAATTACTGAGAGATTATTCCGAAGTTCCAGCAGAACGAAAGAGCTGGCTTGAAATTGGTTCTCAGCACTGTAGGACGAATAAGGAATGATTTAATCAAATTTGGCAAAGTTTCATAAGCGACACGTGTCGAGGCATTGAAATGATACGCTTCCTGCTTCTCTAATGCCCATTATAATCCCATATCAAAACAAAATGTCAATCAAACCAGCCGGTCGAAGGTATAAATTAGCAATAAGGAGCTGATCTTGCACTTAGATTTATTTGGCAGCAAACGACGTGATCTGTAACCAATTTCAGTGAGGACTGAAATTGACTTAGCTCTTGGCTTTCCTGCTCCAAATTCAGTGAATTTTTTTTTCCTCTTGGCCTTGTCAAAGGTATTTTAGCAAAGTTCGTAGCTGAATTCTGAAGGCCGTTAGCCCAACGACTGAATCGGACGTTTACTAATTCGCTAAAAAAGAAACATTAAATGATGGAGTTAGAAGATGGATGCCTTGGAGGTTTCCTCAGCATGGCGGAGCTGGAGAGATATTTTATTCATGGTAAGTATCACTTGCTGTATTTCTTTCATCTTTTACTCTAACGTACTTAATAAACTGTTTGACGATTACTCGAAAATCATAATTTCTTGATCTGATATGGGTAATCACTGTTGTCTATGTCTTCTGCAGTTTGCCAATATTAAATACTAACAAAGCTATTGCTAGAAATAGCGTGGGTGTAGTGTTGTTGATGGAGACTCCAGGGATTATAAATATCTTACACAGTGAAAAGAAATATGGATGGAAAATGTCCACGAAGTAACAAATCATTTTCTTGGCGTTTGACTTAGGATCTTTCTATGTTTTCTACAGTTCACCTTTCCTAACTTTGTACAATATTTTGTTATCACTGTATACGGTTTATACTTAAAAGGCCATTTTTGGGGCTCTTCAGAAAATCCTCTCGCTTTTCAGTGGGTGGTCGTCCTTTTGTGCTGTGTCAGTGTGTTAAATCCAGTTGTTGTCGCTCTTCAGATTTGTTCTCTATTGATTCCTCTGCACCCAGTAACGCAAATTAAAATGAACCTTAACCCCGTTGTAAAATTTGTTTCAAGAGTAGCGTTTCCAAACCAACACATTATTGACATTTGTTATCATTTTGCTGGCAAATACATGCCACTTTTCAAACGGAGAAAAAAGAACAAGTTGTTTTGGTATTAAATTTCACTAGTTTCCATTTCTTGGCGCTCGTATACTTTAAAGACTTCCCGTGAAATTTGATATGATGTTTCGCCCGGAGTGATTGAAGAAATTTTAACTGGGCCGTACAGTCTTAAAACACGATCCCGGGTCAAGCGGACTATAAAACTGTCTATTTTCCACACTGCTTCGGCTCGCGAGTGTTTGTTTGAAAACTGCTTAAACAGTCGCGTTTTCGTGACAAGCCACATGGAAATGATGATTTAAAGATCAAACTTTACAGCTCTTGAAAACAAAATCGATAACAAAAACGTTCTTTCTTGGACTGTTTTTCCTTGTTATTTTCTTTACCACTGTGTTTTTTTTTGGGTCTGCCAATTACAAATCTGAATCCCCATTTTCTACCATTCCTTCAAGATTAGGATCATCTACCCCAAGAAATAAGTAACCACTATTTTCTCCTCATAAAGTTGGTCAAATTTAAATGATTATTCTGGTTTAAAGGGGCGATAATTTTACCCAGGATTTTTGTTTACTTCGCAGTTATTATTCCGTGTACAAAGCATCCTGTTTGGTTGCGTCATGTCCGCTGGGTGTGTTTTTCTATT